TGTGGATGATGTTGATGACGACGTTGTCGTTGATGATGATGTTGTTGTTGATGTTGATGATGAAGTGGTTGATGATGTTGATGATGAAGTGGTTGATGATGTTGATGTTGATGATGATGTTGATGTTGATGATGATGTTGATGTTGTTGTTGATGTTGATGTTGATGTTGTTGCTGCTGGAGTTGTTGCTGCTGCTGGTGATGTTGCTGCTGTTGGAGTTATTGTTGCTGCTGGTGTTGTTGTTGGTGGTGTTGTTACCGGTGATGTTAGTGCTGCTGGTGTTGTTATCGGTGATGTTAGTGCTGCTGGTGTTGTTGCCGGTGATGTTAGTGCTGCTGGTGTTTTTGCTGGTGATGTTAGTGCTGCTGGTATTGTTGATGCCGTAGTCGATTCTGTTTTAGACAAATGAGATTGGAGGTGTGGACATGGGCGTGGTTGCGGCTCTTCTTCAATCTCCATACTCATACTCTCAATATGGATGTGAGAATGGAAAAAGATCCGTGCCCACACCCACACCTAGTAGATCAAGAAAATCTTTTCTAAAAACTTATACTAATTACATAAATAAATATGTACAAATGCACCAATATATATATATATAGTATATTTAAACATAACATACACATATCATATATATAATATATGAAACCTTTGAATTACTTTGTAATTCATTTCCAGCATGAACTTATATTGGCGTCTAGCTATTTGATCGATTCCTAAGAGATAAGACTAAGTCAGACAATAAAGAATTGACCTATTCATTTATCTGATTATAATATTGTTTGTACTATTCTAAAAGTAACTCTATGAATATACTGCTCGTGATACGTAATATACAGCTAGTACGAGATTTTGTGAATCGTTTGGTTCGATCAATGTAAGAAAGAAAAAGAGTTTTTTCTCTTCAATATATTTTTTCCTAAATAACTGTGGCCACACTTACCAAGTGGAAATCGTGTTCCATCCATAACAATCATAGTAACAGTGTCTACGTTGCTCACCAAATTGCCGTTTTGGTTTGATATATCAGCAAATAATTCACAATTAGATGATGATTTATGAAAACTAATTGCTTTACAATGGACTTCAGCTAAACAAGCCATTTGACACTGGCGGATATTTGACGCAATAACAACAGCCAATGGTGAGCAACTTGAGCTAGAGCATCGAAATTGCCAACCAGCTTTAG